CGGTTGCGGTCACTATATAAGGTGCGGAGGCCGCGGGCCGCTTCGGTTTTGGACGTTGGCATCTTCCGCGTCGCCCCCTCCAGGTAAGTCGCGGTGACGCCAAGGGCGATTTGGTGCCCGTAAGCCTGGGTCCTGGTGGCCGGAGTTTCGATCAATATCTTGGATTTTTTAATTTTAGATTTGTCATACTCCGCTGAAGTCACCATGAGCTTTTTTCAACTGCTGATGAAAAAGAAGGAAGTAAGTTTTTAAAGCAGTTGGAAATCTTGACTAAGGGTGTTCGCTTTTAAGGATGAAAAGATGGTGCAGATTTTGAAGAAAGTGTACAATAATATATAGCTGTTTTGTTTCAGATGTTTCCTGTTGAAACATCCGAATATTTACTCTCAACCCGTTATACCTGTTATCTGTTAGCTTGTTCCTTTGGTGCTGATCATGACTTTCGCAGCCAGTGGAGCCTTGTCTTTTGCTGTATATTCCCTTCGAAAAAGCGATGTGATGTAAGTAGGTCTCAATTTATAAAAACGTGTTTGGTTTACTTTTAGTTAATGAAATGTATGATATCAGTTTCCTAGTGTTTTCCTATGAATAAGAATGTCAAATTGTGAACTTGAGGTCAGAGCTGAAAAGCATCTTGATAGCATAAGACTCTTGAATTAGGATATTACTCAAACTTAGTTTATTTCCCGTGTTTAGCCTTTCATTTGTCCATTGGCCCTCCTCCACTCTCCTTCAGTGAAGTTTGATTTTTTTTTTTTACTTTAGTTTTGAAATATAAAGTTCTTAAGTGGTTTTTTTGGGATATATATCATCAAACAACATTTTATAATTTTAAATTTCAACTTATTTAACTTTTGCTAATGTGGTAAATTGATAGATTTGGATGTCTGCAATGAGCCTAATTCCAACATTGTGTAGAAGAAAGTTAAAAAAAAAAATGTATCCTGGAATATGAGGAAGAGATGAACTTTAAACTGATATAGGCAGGTGCAGGGCTGGAGAGGGTGGTACTCTAACCACTGGCAGAGGGCCGTATGCCCTGGAGTTTATCACCTGCAGAGTTCAAACCCAGCCCCTCCACCCCTCCTAGAAACCAGGACAAGATCAGTATTGCTGGTCCTCAGCCTGGCACTTCTACCCCCATTGTTACTGGATTTGTGTCATCATCCTCCAATCTAGCCCAGTAAAGAGAATACAGGCCTCCTACCCTGCAGAGGAATTAATAGATCCTGAATGTTTGAGCCAAACCTGTGAAACTCCCTTAAGAACTCTTCCACCGACTGGGCTTGGTGGCTCAGCCTGTAATCCCAGTGCTTTGGGAGGTGGAGGTGAGCTGATTGCCTGAGCCCACGGGTTTGAGACCCGCCTGGGCAACTCGGCGAGACCTCATCTCTACAATAAGTCAAAAAACTAGCCGGGTGTGGTAGCACGCGCCTATAGTTCCAGCTACTGGGAAGGCTGAGGTGGAAGGATCGCCGGAGCCCAGCAGGCGAGGCCACTGCACTCCAGTCTGAGCGACAGAGTGAGACTCAAAAAAAACAAAAAACAACTCTTCCACCAATTTCAGTTACTACTGATGGTTCTTGATAGTTAACTAACAAACGAATACAGAAGTATGAGATTGACTTTGCCCCTAGCATGTTTATAGACCCGGTATCAGTGTTGGTTAAAATCACTTTAATGTTTAATTACTTTTCTTTTAATTTTAGCATTGACCGAAAAGGAAATCCAGAGCCTTGGGAAACTGTGGATCCTACTGTACCTCAAAAGGTATTATTAAATTAAAAGCAAGTGATTTACATTTTGCCCACACCTTAACACCTTTGTCAGCAAAATAGATTTAATTCCTTACCTTTATTGTGTAACTTAGATCAATTGTGCCCACTGTCTGTTAGGAACACTGTACATCTACTCATGAGGAGCAGACACATTTTTTGAACTTACAGCTCACATAATACCTTGGCAAATTTTTAAAAATCTGGACTATGGATACTACTAAGTGAAAATAGGGTACAAGTGTTTGACCTTTCTCTCTGATCCCATAAACACTTAGGAATCCAAGGACTTTTTTTTAAAAGTCAGAGTCTCACTCAGTCACCCAGGCCTGCAGCCTCGACCTCCCCAGCTCAGGCAATTCTTCTGCCTCAGCCTCCCGAGTAGCTGGGACTACAGGTACACATCACCATGCCTGACTAATTTTTTTCATTTTTTTGTAGAGATGAGGTCTCATTATGTTGCCCAGGCTGGGCAATCCATCCACTTTCAAAGTGCTGGGATTGCAGGCATGAGCCTGGCCCCAAGGGCTTTTTAAAGAAATGGAATGACAGAAACCAGTCCACATTACTGAAGGACAAATCCTTAACAAAACATTTATTTCTTTTTGTCTTAAAGCTTTTAACAATCAACCAACAATGGAAGCCAGTTGAAGAGTTGCAGAAGGTCCGAAGGGCAACCAAATGAATAGTCCTTACTTCTTTCTTCCAAAGAGTACTCTATAAATCTAGTGGAAACATTTCCACACCAACTAGATTATGGATACCAGTGTGCGGAAATGCTTCTGCTACATTTTTAGGGTTTGCCTACATGTTTTGGATTCTGGATAAGGAATTGAAGGTAGTATAGCAATAACCACGTTATCCAAAAATAATTTTCTATGTTTATTGTCTTGTACATTTTAATCTTGCATATTGAAATGTTTATGTTGCCTGAATGTTTTTCTTAAAATTTATTAAGATTTGTAAATTAGGTTATTGTCTGTAATAAAATGCCACTTCTGCAAGATTTCTCAAAGATTAAATGAAGAAGAAAATCTTTTTATGGGAGAAAACACATTTGAAGAGTGAAACTTCGTTTTTCAGATAATATCTAGTACAAATTTCTGTCTAAGCTTTTTTTCTAAGTTCATTCATTCACTAGAAGTTTATTGAGCACCTACTGTTTGCAGTAAAGCAATGAATAAAGCCACATTTTGGAGGGATATGCATAAGAGATGGTAAGTACAATGAGGAAAATGAAGTGGGGATGGGGTTTGAGGCCTGCATGAGGACTGGCCTTGGAGGCGGTGCTGGGATTCTGGTGGTGAACTGGAATGCCAGGGCTACTGCAATCTGCCCTAAAGATGCCAAGCCAAACTGTGGTGCTCCTGTGAAGGCTGAGCAGGGAAGGGTGGGGAGCTTTGCCACAGGACCCTGCAGAGTCTGGAGCTACTTTTCACTCTGGCCAATGGTGACTTGAAGGGCAAAGATGGAGTCATGCCCCTGGGCTCCCTTAACTGTCCTTAAAAATAAAACCAAGTAGAAAGTTGCTTTTCTTTAACTTTTTTTTTTTTTACAAATGAGATATCATTCACATGCCATCGTATTCACCCATTTAAGTTGCACAGTTCAGTGGTTTTTTAGCATATTCAGACAGTTGTGAGACCATCTTCACCATCTCCCTCTAGAATGTTCTCATTCTCACCCCCAAAAGAACTCTACCTGTTAGCAGTCATTCCCCTATCCTCAATCCCTCTGCTCCCGGTCCCAGGGAAATAGTAATAAACATTGTCTCTATGTATAGTAGTGATGTCCTATTCTGGACATTCATACAACTGGAGTCATACAACGGGTAGCCGTTGTGTATGGTTCCTTTAACTTGGCGTATTAAGAGTCATCCATGTTGTGCCATGTACATGTTATCAGTATTTCATTCCTTTTTCTGACAGAATACTACTTCATTGTATGGATGTGCCTTTTTTTGTTTATCCATTGATAAGTTGATGGACATTTGGATTTCTACTTTTTGGCTATTATATAAATAATGCTGCCATGAACAGCCATGTACCCATTTTTGCATGACCATATATTTTTAATTCTCTTGGGTATGTACTTAGACTCATTAACTCTTTTAAACAAAAGTACTTTAAAATTTTTTAATATGAATATAATAGAAACATAAGAGAAGGACTAAGTTCTTGTCACTGTAGGGACAGAAAGGGAGTGATCCTTTTCATTCCATTAGGAGGGACATAGCCGACACCCCTATAACAAAAGTCAGGCTAACAGGAGAAAATCATAACAAATCTGATCTTAGTTTTATGTGACATGGTAACCTAAAGAATGAAGACCTGATGATGCAGGGAAAACTATTCATTTTTATGCTGGCGTTCAACGAAATATGGACAACTGTGTAGAAATATGATTGGACAAAAAAGGAGTATGATCCCAATGCTAATAGACCAAGTGGGAAACAGCAATTCAGATTCTTTTTGGCCTCTCTGTGCAGCATTTCTTCCTCCTGGGTGTCAGGGAGGATCCCTCTGGAATAAGGTTAATTTCTTTATGGCCAGCTATTAATCAGAAAGGTGTGTGAAGGTTAAAGGTAATATTTTTAGGTTATGGCTGGCTTTCAGGAAAAGGGGTTCTGGTTTCTATGACTGCTTTGGAGGGGCATTCTAGTTTCTGTGGCTCAACTGGGGAAGAATGAGGGGTGAGAAGCAGGAAGGCAGAGAGAACTCTTCTTCTGAGACTTCATTGTGGGGTATCATTTTTTGGGGTACAGCATTACCTTCACAGCAGTAAAAAAGAACTAGCTCTTGCTAGGGACTTGGCAGTTGTGAAAGGACTAAGGCAAGGTTACTTCTGCCAACATTTGCTATTTCCTTATCACCTCCCGTTTTCCCAGTTAAAAGTCTCTGATGGTTCATCTCGGGATTTCATGCAGCAACAGGGAAGCACATTTTATTTGCTTAAGCTTTTCAAGTGGAATATGATATAATTAAAGGAAATAAAAATGAACAGTCTAGTGATGGTTGGCCAACTAGGAAGGGAAATTATAGAGTGCTTTTTGAGGGCTAACTGCCTTTCAACTTTAAAACACAAACTTGATTGAAATGCGGTAACTTTTTGGCATGACCATGGCAATAGAAGGTGCCATTTTGCAGGTTTGGGAGGGAAAGAGATCAAGAGTAGTGATGACACTTAAATTTCTTATTTTTCTTTTTTTTTGAGTCGGAGTCTCACTCTGTCACCCAGGCAACTTGGCGAGACCTTATCTCTACAATACATCAAGAAAATTAGCCAGGCATGATGGCGATCCTTCCGCCTCAACCTTCACGTAGCTGGGACTACAGGCATGCGCCATCATGCCCAGCTAATTTTTCTTGATTTATTGTAGAGATGAGGTCTTACCAAGTTGCCCAGGCTGGTCTCGAACTTGTGGCTCAGGCAATTCTCTTACCTCGGCCTCCCAAAGTGTTGGGATTATAGACGTGAACCACTGCACCTGGCAGACACATTTCAAAAACTCTGATTTTTTTTTTTTTTACTTCTCAGCATTTCCTCCAAACATTTTGAACAATTTTAAATATACTGAGAAGTTGAAAGATTAGTACAAAGAATACTCACACTTATTATCAACATTTTACCACATTTGTTGTGTGTCTCTGTATATGTATGATTTTTAAAAATTAATTTGTTGAAGATAAGTTACAGACATCATAAAACTTTTCCTCTAAAAACTCACTACCTAAGAGAAAAGACATAGCTGACTACAATACCATTATCAGTCATAAGACAACTTTAATTCAATAATATCACCTACTATATGACCCATTTTTTGTCTCAAAAATATCCGTTATGTCTGTATTTTTAAGCCCAGATTCATCCAGTACCAAGGCCTGCTTGTTGTAATTGACTAAGTTATTGTACTAAGAACTTGACTGACATGTGGTCATGAAAATGACTCCAAAAGAGCTTATATGACAGTGTTGTCTCTACAGATAATGAGGACATTATCTGAATATCATTCTCTTAGATGTGAACTTTAAAATTTTTTAATTTGTGATATGATATGACATATTTTCATGCAGTTAATCTGTAAGAAGTTGTGCGATTAATAAGCACTCACTATGTGCTAGGTGCTGTGCTGGCCTCGAGGTTCTGACAGCTTAGGAAAGGGAGACGCCCATGCACAATGGATCAGAGCTTCAGAGCAATGCCATGACAATGACGGAAAGACAGAAGCAAGCACATGGGATTAGGAAGGCTTCCTACAGAAGGTGGATCCCTGAAAGACTGCTCAGACTTGAAAAACAAATCACTGGAAGTCAGTAAGGCAATTGAAAGAGAGGTATGTGTTTACCAGGGCAGAGCAGGTTAAAATCGCACGATGTCTTCTGGAAATTTCAAGTTGTTTAATACATGGAATTTCTAATATTGGAGTGTAAAGTCAGAGAGGTAGCTGGAAAAAAAATAGGTGGAGTGTGAAGAGCTAATATCCTGCAGGCACAAAGGAACCAGAGAAGGGTTTGAAGTTAGAGAAGGGAATAAGACAGTCTACTTAGTGGAGGATTGGCTAAGGTAACTGGAGGTGCAGGATGTGCACTGAAAGGGACTTTGGTTGGAGGCCAGAGACCAGCTGCTACCAATGATCCGGTTGATGGCAGTGAGGGCTGTGACTGACCAAAGCAGTGGTGGAGGGAATACAAAAATATGAAGTGTTTGCAAGCAGCTGGGGAGAAATAAATGAAAAACTCATTAGATGAAGAAGACTCATGGGATATAGCTAGGGAGTGTTCACAATGACTCCCAGATTCTCACTTGTGTAGCTGGATGGGAATGCAAGAGAATAAAAGAATGTGGGGGAGGGGTGTGTAAAGAAGAAAATAAGTTAGATTTTGGAAGTGTTGCCTTGGAGAGCCCAATGAGCTACCTAGGTAGCTACACCTGGGGACAGATTCAGGCATGGTAAAATCTCAGGTGTGGATGAGATTGCTTAGGGAGGGCTTCTAGAATGAAGAGAAGACTGAGCCTAGAGAAACATCATCACATAGGGTATGGTCAGAGGAGGATCTGTCCCTGATCGGACTGAGGAGAAACTAAGGAGGGAGAAGGAAAACCAGGAGAGATTAGGTGAAGCCCAGAGGGGAGAAAGTTATTTCCTGTTAGGAGGTTGTTAAGGTTTGCAATTAAACAAAAGCCCAGAGTCCTTTCAACTTTATGGCCTTGAGCCTTTAGCAAACATCTGTAATTCCCTTTTACCTACTAATAACATATGAAGTAAGCTTTCTGAGTAAAGAAGTTACAATTACATTTTATATCACTAAAAACTGGAGTGAGAGCTCATTAAATATTCATCACTTTTATTTTCTTAAATTTTTTTTTTTACATTTTAGTTGAGACTTTGTGGTAGAGAATGAAATTAAAGGCTTTGAAATCAGATTACTCTGCTGTGGAGGTCTAGCCTCCGGTGAGCATGGCCTGAGTTGTGGGGAGGGAATGAGAAAGAAAGACAAGAGACAGCGGGATTGGGAGGTCTCTCTCCTCAACAGGTGAGAGCCAGTTTATTACTTAGCATGCCTCTTATATAGGGCAAAACTGTACAAGGGACTATTGTAAAAACAAGCAGCATCAGCATCCGGGCCAGGCACGATGGAGGAATCTGGGCTAGGCATGATTGACGTCACACCACTCTGCTTTATTATAAAGTAACAAATCAAGGTCTGTGAGGGAGCCACAGCGGAATTATGTAGCTACTAGAAGGCGAGCTGTTCTGTGTTTATCTTCTTGTACTTAGGGCTTTATAGTAGCTAAGACTTTATCTGTACTATGTGTACTTGGATGTGTGGGCATCCAAGACACTGTTTGTGTAGCAGGCTGCATTCCTCACAGCCTACTTCTGACTAGGATGCAGAGTTTCCAAGCGAGACCTTGCCTACGAGCTTGGGGTACTCAAGGCCCGCTACGTTTTATGTAGCAGGCTGCATCCCTCACCTGCCTTTGGCTAGAATGCAGAGCTTCCAG